AGCTGCAAGACGAAACAGAGTGAGGAAATAGTTGAGTTATGGGATCGATGGTGATGATGGTGAGAACAGTGTATGTAAGATGATGACGGCCGAAATAGGTTAATTTAGAGAGATAATGCCAGTGAAACTAACGTTACTAGTTCTAACACTAATTATCATCATGATTATTATTATAGCTATTATCATAATGGTAATAATTACTAATGTTTCTGATGATGATGACAATGGGAATGATAATTACGATGACAGCAATGACAAAAAAATAGTAAAGAGCAAAAATAACGATAATATTATGAAACATCGATACAAGCAAGAACAAAAACACTAATTGCTATCGAAATGAAGGAGCTGCGTTAAGATACCTTCGTAAAATGTAAGATCATCGTAAACAAGACCTTCGTTATAGGACCATTCATAAGTCTAAAATCTCCAATGAAAACCCAACTCACGTGTACACGACTTGGAGGCAGCGTGGTCGTAGAAAACTTTTTTCGGGATGGCTTCTGAACACCGATCGCACCTTCTGTACTGCGTTGAAGCCACACACTCGCCTGAGAAACGTACAGGAGGGTCATTTAGCGATCGTGTTTTGTTTCGATGATGGACGAGGTTACTGTTATTGTTGGGTTTGTCGTCTTCTTTATGTAAGGATACTGTGAGGTGTGGGATGGATGGTTGTCCTTGTGTCGTGGTAGAAAAGGACGTAAAATAATGGTACTTATAAATGCGTAGTTTTGTTGGAATATATAAAACAATATTCATTAACTTGTATCCGCGTAATATGCAAGAAGAGCTACAAAATATGAGTAACTACCTACTAATATGTAATATAATATGTTGAGTATAGCACTGATGAAAAAAAGATTAGATCGCGTACCGTCATATGAAAATGGGTACGTACTTTACTACAAATAATAAGAATAATAACAGATGAAAAATGAACGTTACATTCTATAACTAAATATAGCAATACATCTTATCCTAGAAGCCATAACATCATAACATTTCCAGTAAAAAAAATATGCTTCAGTGTAAGGAAATAGGTAAGATTAACTTAAAAAATAGGAAGAAGACAAACAACACATTTCCAGCCCTGAACCCACCAAGGAGATGCTGTGTGAGGGAAGCGACCTCAACCACCTGGCGACAGTAATGGCATCGCGTGAGCATCGGACAGGCTCGCCAGTAGTGCATGTCGAGGCCGTTGTCGCTGAAGGACTCATCGTAGGCGCCGCAGAAGATGCAGGTCCTGTGGATACCGGGAGAAGGTGGGTATTGACGAAACATCTTTTGTCTTCGATTTCTTTCTTTATTTTATTTTTATTTATCTATTTATTTATTTTATTTTATTTTTTTGGGGGGTGGAAATTAACTGTGGAGAATTTCTGAGTGGTTTAGGCGTTTCTGAATATTGTTTTGGAGTTTTGGAATGATTCGTCAGGAGTTGGAAACTTAGGATTTCGAAACTGATGGCCTACATGTTTTTCTTATCTATATACACTCAAAATATGGTATAAAGAATCCCAAGGAGCAATTCTTAGGAGCTGTTTTTTATCTAAAAATTTGTCTTCCTCTTTTAAATTTCATTTATTTGTTTCTCTGACAGGCCCTCTACACCACGCTGACGCACAGGTGGCTAGAAGAAATATAAAGATAAAAAAGTCACTTCAAAAGCATACTCGACATCGGCCCTTGATATTTCATTATTCAAAAGTCAAAGTTGGTCCCATGTCCATGTGAACGTAGGGGACATGTTTGCAGAGAAACAAGCTTACTAGGCCGCGGGTTGATGCGGTAGGGTGGCCAGTTCCTTTGCGCCCCGACCTTGACCCCAACATGCTGACATCAGCATATCAGTACTCGTTCACAGCTGAGTCGACTGAGAGGGGCGGCGGCCGGGCGCGAACCCAGGACCTTGCGATTGCAAAGCCAGCGCTCCACCACTGAGCTATGTCACCCTCATTTTATTATTACTTGTAAATATAATAAATTTGCAATGTCATTATATCTGACCACTTTCAATAGGGTCCCTTAGAGTGAATGTAATCATTTGACAATCCATTAAGAAAATTACAAAATTCCTATATTTAGTTCCCGAAACTGAATTCTTAGGCACTGAAAAAAAATCAGGGATCCCACGTAGGCTCTGGTCCGCCCTGTATACAATCCCTCGTCCATGAAAGTGACGCATTCATGAGACGTATATATTACAGTACCCCGGCGGGTGGCTGGTGCACCAACGATCAATAGCTACAGCAACAGGTCCGTCTCATCCACCCGCGCCATCCTGAGGGGGGGAGGGGGTGGGGTGAAGTGGGGCACAGGGGGGGGGGGCGGGGTTGCAGGGTCTTGCTGATTCATGACGTGACTCATACGTAGAGAGAGAGAGAGAGAGAGAGAGAGAGAGAGAGAGAGAGAGAGAGAGAGAGAGAGAGAGAGAGAGGAGAGAGAAGAGAGAGAAGAGAGAGAGAGAAGAGAGAGAGAGAGAGAGAGAGAGAGAGAGAGAGAGAGAGAGAGAGGGAGAGAGAGAGGGAGAGAGAGAGAGAGAGAGAATTATACATCTGATTAAGATGTATGTGTGTATGTCTATGCATTAATATAAGTATGAACGTATGTATAAGTGTGTATGAGTGTCTGTGACTGCACCAGCATCTATTTGCGCAGTGTGTGTACATGAACTTAATAATAGATTAATAAAAAAAATGTCTTAACTTCCACTTTCCCTAAAGTAAAGACCACGCGGAGCCAGACGGACCAGATGCCTCAACAAGGTCACGGATCGCCCTTTGTCTTTCCTCCCCCTCCCCCCCCTTCCTCCTATTCCGTGCTTCCCTCCTCCTCCCTTCCTACCATGCCTCTTTCTTCCTCCCTCTTCTTCTCTTTCAATCCCTCTCCCTCTTTGTTTTTCTCCTTCTACTATGTCTCCTTTTCAACCCCTCCTCTGTTTCTTCTCTCCTCCTCTCCTCTCTTCTCCTTCCACCCTGCCTCTCTCTTCCTCCTTCTTCTTCTCTTCTCCTCTCCCCTCTTCAATCCCTTCTACCTTGCCTCTTTTTTCCTCCCTCTTCTTCCCCATTTATCACTGTTCCCCTTCCCTCTTCTCCTCCTTCTATCCCTCTCCCCTTCTTTCTTTTTTTTTTTATCCCTCTCTCTCTTCCATTCCTTCTATCTTCTTCTATCCCTCTCCCCTTCTCTTCCCTTCCCTCTTCTCCTTCTATCCCTCTTCCCTTCTCTTCCCTTCCCTCTTCTCCTTCTATCCATCTTCCCTTCTCTTCTCTCCCCTCTCCCCTTGTCTTCCCTTCCCTTTTCTCCTTCTACCCCTCTCCCCCCCTCCCCCTTGAAAACAAACCTCCCACTCCACCTACTTGTCCTCGGAGTCTCCAGGCGAAGGCTCGTCGTCCATGACCCTCAAGTCGGACCTCGAGCGATTGAGTCTCGACAGGGCTCTTCCTCGGACCTCAGCCTCGTCGGGGGTGATGCTGATCTGCGGCACCGGAGGGTAACCAGTGCTGCCCACGCTGCTGGCGCTGCTGCCCGTGCTGACTCCGCTGCTGCTGCTCGGCGTGCTGGAAAGGGTGGGGAGAAGGGGGAGGGGTGGGAGGTGGAGGGGAGGGAAGAAGGGGGGAGGGGGAGGGTTGGGAGGTGGAGGGGAGGGAAGAAGGGGGGATGGGGGAGAAGGGGGGGAGGGGGAAGAAAGGGGTGGGGGGGAAGAGGGGGGATGGGGTGGGGTGGGGGGGAGAAGGGGCAGGGGATTTTTTGGGATGATAGGGTGAAGGGGGGGAAGGTATCCGGAAAAGGGTGGGGTAGTGGGAGGGAAGAAGGGGGAGAGGTGGGGGCGGGGGATTTGGGATGGTAGGGGGGTGGTTGGGGAGTAGGTAGCCGGGAATGGGTTAGGGTGGGGGAAGAGAAGAGCGGAGATAGAAGTATAGGGATTGGGTAGGGGGGGGGAAATGGTGAGAGGGGGAAGGGAGGGAGAATGTTAGATGATAGGGAGGGGGAGATGGGAGACGGTAATAAAGGAGTAGGAATGAGAAATAAGAGCAAGGGAAAAGATTAAAGCGGTGGGTGGGGCAGATTAGAGGGGCGAGACAGCGGGGGGGGGGGATAGGAAAGTTAAGGGGGTAGTGCCGAGGAGAATGACGAAACAAGGGAACGGGGATAAATAGATAAACAAAGTGGATAGGCAGGAGGGAAAAGAGGGATAAGAGAGAGAGGGAGAGAAGAGAGAGAGAGATTAGATATCCGAGGTTGTTAATGAGATAATTACCCGGCTGTATCACGCATGACATGATAAAGAGGGGCAGATCGATATCTTAATTTAATTAATCATTTAACTACAGCGAATATATATAACATTGATAGAACTGTTGTAAAGAGAGATTAGACGAAGAGGGACTTCTAAAAAGGCAGAACCAGGAAAGAAATATAAAGACGGTACAGTATAATATAAAGTGTTATATTTATTAGTTTATGGATTAATGTGTGATGCTATATGCATTGTTGAATCTGTTATCACTATATGACTGTTATTGTATATAATATCACAATATGTCTCTGCATTAACTGTAACTTTTTTTTAAATATTATTTGTCTATCTATCATTGCAGCTTAAATTAATTTTGCGCAAATGGTGGCAGCATTGCGCATGCACATAAACAGCTTTTTTGTATTGCGCGTACGATTAAGCACGAATTAAGTATAAAATTATAAATAAAAAAAAGTATCACTTTGACATGAATTGATGTTCCATGATCAGTTCAATACTTTTTTTGGCCCGACGCAGCATGGCATGTATCACAAATCAATTATAGAATGCAAATGAAGATATGCAAAGCCTAGAAAAAAAGTTTTCCTAATGTGTGTCTTTTTCATTCTGCAGACGTTGCCCTGGCCCGCATAAGCAGCATGATCAATGTGTAGAATATGTGTTAAAGCCTCGATTGCAAAACAGCATCACCGAGAGACATTTAACGATGATGCAGTGCAATGTGGCTTTGCTTGATTGTGCTTGACACCGAGGCAAATGAGGTTTGTTCAGTTATCGACGTCCTTTTATTACGATAAAAAATGATTGTGACTGGGAAATGGAATGGAATTTCAAGGTTTCTTTTTAATAAGATAGGTGGTGTGTACACAGACACAGGCACACACACATACATATATATATATATATATATGTGTGTGTGTGTGTTTTGATTGTGCATGTGTGTGTTGAGTGTATATCCGTGCTATGTTACTAAAAATCCACATAAATACTTAAAGACGTATACAGCCGATTCCCAGAAGAGCACCCCGCATTACAAGTAAAATTAAAAAGAAAAAAAACAACTGATTTATGGCCAAGATAAACGGTCCTGACGCCATGAGTTCATCGATCATGGCAGAGACGTCAGATGTCAGCCCTCACACAGAATTAGAGCTTCCAGTGCATGTCTTTGTTTTACCTCGGCCCAGCTTTCAATACTGCAGGATGCTTGTAGAACTTTTAAGACAGTAATCAGAAGATATTATGTAACACTTTTTTTTGCAGAAGATTCATATATCTAGATGAATGTTTCAATTAGATTAGCTTCTTGCTTTTGCAGATACTTTTAATGTACTGGAGTTAATAATGTGCACTCACTTTACGTCATTATCTATAGGTATGTGTAGTTACCTCCTTTTTAGTTTTCCATTCCTTATATTGTTAGGGTTGACTTCGAAATGACCTGACCTGCTCATTATATCGTCGGGGGGGGGGGGGGGGGGGGGGGGGGGGGGGGGGGGGGGGGGGGGGGGGGGGGGGGGGGGGGGGGGGGGGGGGGGGGGGGGGGGGGGGGGGGGGGGGGGGGGGGGGGGGGGGGGGGGGGGGGGGGGGGGGGGGGGGGGGGGGGGGGGGGGGGGGGGGGGGGGGGGGGGGGGGGGGGGGGGGGGGGGGGGGGGGGGGGGGGGGGGGGGGGGGGGGGGGGGGGGGGGGGGGGGGGGGGGGGGGGGGGGGGGGGGGGGGGGGGGGGGGGGGGGGGGGGGGGGGGGGGGGGGGGGGGGGGGGGGGGGGGGTCTCTCTCTCTCTCTCTCTCTCTCTCTCTCTCTCTCTCTCCCTCTCTCTCTCTCTAACTAGTTTGTGTGTGCGTATTGTCTATTTATCTAAATATCTGTCTCCCATACACTCCACGCTGTATTTACGTGATATAAATGCACACACACACACAAACACACACACACATACACACACACGCACGCATACACACAAATACAAACACACACACACACACACACACACACACACACACACACACACACACACACACACACACACACACACATATATATATATATATATATATATGTACATATATACATATATGTGTGTATGTACGTATGTGTCTGTATATATATGTGTGTGTGTGTGTGTGTGTGTGTGTGTGTGTGTGTGTGTGTGTGTGTGTGTGTGTGTGTGTGTGTGTGTTTTGATTGTGCATGTGTGTGTTGAGTGTATATCCGTGCTATGTTACTAAAAATCCACATAAATACTTAAAGACGTATACAGCCGATTCCCAGAAGAGCACCCCGCATTACAAGTAAAATTAAAAAGAAAAAAAACAACTGATTTATGGCCAAGATAAACGGTCCTGACGCCATGAGTTCATCGATCATGGCAGAGACGTCAGATGTCAGCCCTCACACAGAATTAGAGCTTCCAGTGCATGTCTTTGTTTTACCTCGGCCCAGCTTTCAATACTGCAGGATGCTTGTAGAACTTTTAAGACAGTAATCAGAAGATATTATGTAACCCTTTTTTGCAGAAGATTCATATATCTAGATGAATATTTCAATTAGATTAGCTTCTTGCTTTTGCAGATACTTTTAATGTACTGGAGTTAATAATGTGCACTCACTTTACGTCATTATCTATAGGTATGTGTGGTTACCTCCTTTTTAGTTTTCCATTCCTTATATTGTTAGAGTTGACTTCGACCTGACCTGACCTGGTCATTATTACTCGTCGGGGGGTGGGGGGAGTTGTTTATCTGGCGCTCTTGCATTGTTCATTCAAGACCGTCAAACAACAGATTCCATTTATGCTGATTTTGATAATGGTGAAAAAAAATCCCATACATCTAAAATCACTCTATACTATAAACATCTCTCTGAAACGTATTCTCTTCCTGTTCCCCTCCATCTTTTCCTCCTCCTTTTATTTTCTCTCTCTCTCTCTCCAAATTAAGTTCTACAAGAAAATACCCGCATATACATTCGCATTCAACGGCGTCCAGCTCTTTTTTTATCAGATTACATCACTACATCTCCGCATTTTGACAGCCTTCTGCAGTGAGCTGTGTTCTTGTTTCCTCCGGTTTGCTTGTTTGACAGCAGTCGTCGATCGATTCTTGCTGTGTCTGCTTTTCAGGTCTGGACGTATTATTAGAATTTTAAATTTCCTTTGTTATCTTTCGCTGTCTGTGTCTGTATTTGTGAATATACATACATACATACATACATACATACATACATACATACATACATACATACATACATATACATAGATATATACATATATATTGTTTTGTTTTTGTTTTGTTTTTGTTTTGTTTTTGTTCTCTCTCTTCTCTTCACTTTTCTTTTCTCTTCTTCTCATATTATTTCTTTATCTTATCTTTAATCTTATCTTATCTTCTTTCTTTTTATTTTCTCTTATCTTCTGTAATCTTATCATCTCTTATATTTTTATTTTCCCTTTTCTCTATTCCTTTCTTTCTTTCATCTTCCATAAACAGACTGGTTTAAAGATACACTTAAACCCAAAATAACAATCACAGACAAAAAATAAACAAACAGACAAACACAAAACAGAGAACTTACCACCTCAAAGTTTCTACGATTCATAAAGACACAAAAAAACGGTTCTCAAATACATTTCTTTCACGGGGAACGTAAACAGTATACGTATAAATGAGTTAATTTATCATCGCAAGTGTGTGTGTGTTGGCGGGTGAGCAAGTGAGGCGGATTGGCAACACTGACGTACAACAAACAAACGTGCGTGAAAGGGGTGGTGGGAGAGGTGGGGGGGGGGGGCAGCTGTCCTTCTCCTTTCTCCCTTCTTTCTTACATCTCTATTTCTGCTTTCTTCTCCCATTTCTTCCTCCTTCTTTCTTTACTTTCCTATTTTTCTTCCACTTACATTTTTTTTTTCGTTTTTCTTCTTCCTTCTCTCTTCCTTCCTTTCTCTTTTCTTCACCTCCTATTATTCTTCCCTTTTCTTCCCCCCTGTTTATATTCTCTTTATTATTCATAAATAACAAAGCTGAGCGTGAGCAGGGGTCAATCATCCCCCCTTCCCCCCCCCACTCTTCCTTCGTAGCACATGAATAATCTGACCCCTGTGACTCATCCATGCATACTTGTAAACACACTCACTCTCTCTCTCTCTCTCTCTCTCTCTCTCTCTCTCTCTCTCTCTCTCTCTCTCTCACACACACACACACACACACGTACACACACACGCACGAAATATACATATATATACAAACACATAAATTAGAGCTCGTTAATACACTCATACAGACGAAGAGGAATACATGCAATGGATGGCCATACACAGGCGTCATATCACCAGATTTACGATGTTGCAAAGAGCTTAAAAAAAAAACTAATAATGAGCAATGTTACGAGCCTGATGTGCAAAGCTGTTCTGTTAGACGTACTCACAACATTAACCAGATCCGTCTGTGTTCAAGTGGAATAAAAATCATCCTTTTATCATTAACACATTATCACAAACATTCCCTCGTGTGTGTGCTCATCTCGCTAGTCTCAGAACCAGCAGAGAGAAAATGTAAAGGGTATGAAAGATCATTTAGAAATAACAGATTGGAGAGAAGAGAGCTGGAGAAAGAAATAGATAAATCAGTTCTTAGTTTTTTTTTTCGAGAATGAAAGTCTTGGTGTAGAAGAATCCTTGAGTAAAATGTTTCGAAATCTGTGTTTCAAGAGGTGTGTGAATACAAATGTTCTGTTGGTGGTGTGCGGTTCACGAATGTTGAAAGTCCTTGTGATTTGCACTTCACGTTATTTATCATGGATAACATTACTTGTAACGTTTAATCAAATTCTCACTACCTAGCGTCGACTGTAATTAAAATCGACCTCCTGGTATAAACAGCCTAATGACATGTGTCTTCTTAATCAAATGAAATACACTTTCAAAAAAATGATCTAACGACAATATTTAATAAAAAATGAAAGAATCACAAGGCTGTACATCACTCGGCACCCGTCAACACCACCTACAGCAACACCACGACATCCAAAGAGACCCAAGCCCGTGGCGACGATCCTTACCTGGTGTGATTGGGCGTGGAGCTGGAGGAGGCACCGGCGGAGGCTCCTGGGTGAGGGGGGGCGTGAGACTGAGACGGCGACGGGCGGACGCGGGAGGAGGAGGCAGCGGCAGCAGCTGCCTCGCGCTGGAGAGACAGAGTGGAGCTGAGTAAGGGCGGCGAGCGAGGGAGGGGCAGGGGCCGCGGCGTCGTGGGCGGTGGACAGCTGGGTAAGGGCGGGGGGGGGAGGGGTGCGATGATTCGTAAGGTTGAGGAGGCGAGATAAGGTTGGATAAGGGGGGGGAGGGGAAGGAGGGATGCAGATAGGAAGGAACACAGGCTGAGGGGATAAGAAAGAGAGTATTGTGTATGTGAGAAAGAATGAGAGAGGCAGAGAGAGAGGAATAGTGAGAGAAAGAGAGGGAAAGAAAGAATGAAATAGTGCCAGAGAGAGAGAAAGAGAGAGAGAGAGAGAGAGAGAGAGAGAGAGAGAGAGAGAGAGAGAGAGAGAGAGAGAGAGAGAGAGAGCGAGAGCGAGAGCGAGAGACAGAGAGACAACGAGAGACAGGGAGAGCGAGAGACAGAGAGACAAAGAGAGACAGAGGGAGAGAGAGAGAGAGAGAGAGAGAGAGAGAGAGAGAGAGAGAGAGAGAGAGAGAGAGAGAGAGAGAGAGAGAGAGAGAGAGAGAGAGAGACAGAGAGAG